AAAAAATATATATATATATATATATACTTATTGGAGAAAAAAAAAAAAAAAAAAAAACACTGCTTCTCTGGTCAATGACTTCTCTACTCACATTACAATCCCTTCCTTTGGGTTGTGGCTTCCTCTATTGCCATTTGCCAGTCCCCTGGTAGCTTGTCTTCCAGCAAATACTGTAAGGCAACAGTCTTTCTCCCTGTCACCATACTAGGTACTCTACCACCTATCCAGTACCCTGGTCTCTCAGCTTTGCATTTCTCATCTAGCATGCCTCTGCTTGATGTCAGGTACTCACCCACAGAGCTGAGCCTGGGTGCCCCGGTCATTTCTGAACTTGCCCATAGAGAAAGCCACTCTCACAAACTCCCACCTTCCAGCTTGTTCACACAGTTGTAACCCCAGATTTGTTGATCCACCTAATCAGCCTCTCAGCTCTTTAACTACTTTCCAGGTGTAGAAATACCACCCCCCCCATCTTTACTTCCTTCAATGAATCCAGCATAAATTCCTTGATCCCTTACTTCCACATTTGTCAGTAACCTTGCTTCACTATTATTTATTATTATTATTATTTCAGAGATTTTTGCCTTAGATGATGTGCACTCATGGAGAGAGAGTGAGACAGAGGCAGTGAGAGGGAAAGTGAGAAATCACCTCCCCAGGTGGTATGGCCATGCCACAATCCCTTGCCTTCCATTCTCCTCCCAGGATCTTGGGCATACATGCACACACCAGACATGAATTTTAAGCCACAGGGTCCAGAACTTGAGGACCCTTAAGCCATGGGGTCCAGGATATGGTAGTCAGTCATATGGGAGTCCATAACCCCTCACCATCTGCTGGTCCCTTGCTTCACTATCTTTACCACAGCAGCCTGCAAAATCCCAAAGCCTGATAAATAAACTAGCTCAGTTTCTCCATAACCACACCCGGGTTACTAATGGTGATGAAGAAACCTAACAGAATCCTGTGGATTTATGATCCCACTAAGTTACGATTCCACATTTCAGATAGGCGATCCTTTTTTTTTTTTTTTTTTTTTTTGGGGGGTTTTTTTTTTCGGGACTTTGGCTC